GTCAGTGCGACCACCTCCGTTATGAATAGGAGTGATGATCCTTGGCTTCCATACTGCTGGAATTTGGTTCTCCTCTAGACAGCGCTGATGGAATACAGCCAGAGGTTCCGCCAGATCCCTGACTGCTGTCTGTAAAGCCTTCGGTCGAATGTTATCGACACCACAAAAGCTGTGAATACGCAGGGACAACAGTTTCTTTAACATAGTTTCGGCAGTACAAGTGATATTGGATAAAGCTGGCAGCAGGACAATAGAAATACAGATAAAGATTAAGCCCGTTACTCTCTGGAATGTACGTGGGTAATGGAACCTTAACTGATCGCATGCATCCGTTGCTGATCGTATGCATCCGTCAGCCGTGACGAGTGCTGGGATTCCGCATTGCACCTTACGAAGGCCATTAACATGCCTGTATAAGAGTTTACGGTTTGTGCAAGATCGCTTCATTAACTCCTGCTGATGCGTCACCTTGTCCTCGCGGATCACGATCATACAGAAGCTACGCTGTGTCTCGTAGGCAGTCCAGGTTCCGGAATTCGGGGAGTCCTTGTGAGCTCTCCATGCTAAGTCCCTCAAGGACATGCATTTGCGTGTTCTGCTCCTCAGAAATGAGTTCCTTCTCCTTTAACGATGGAAGGATTTCTGCTCAGACGTGTGCTCTACCAGTGTGGTAAATGTCCTGGTGAAAGTGTCCCAGGCGATTTTTTTTTGGGGGGGGGGTATTCAGTTAAGTAGATCCAAGATGCCTTCATAACGGGCGCGGATAACACGTTGTAGTGCGTGACCGTATACACTTTATCATCTCAGAATTTGCCGCATAACATTCATAGTTAAACAGTAGAGTGACATGGTCAGTACGACCCAGTGGAATGATTGTAATTATTCCGTCGACCATGAGTTCTTCGTTGGTGAGCAGAAGATGCAGTAGCGATGGATGGTTAGCAGTTCGTAATCTGGTGAAAGATGTCATGCGGTTGTACAGAGGATAGCTGGAAACTACCTCTTGTAAACAGGCTTTAAACTGCACGCCATCGGTAGCCGCTATTTCAAGATCGTGCACATTAAAATCGCCTGCGATGAGAATGTGACGGTAGGACTTGCTCAAAGCAACCTTAAGAACGTGGTTCAGTTTATAGTCCGGTTTACACGTAGAGCTTGGTGGACGGTAAATCATAACTATAAGACATGTCTTTATTCCGCAGCCATAATCGGCTCCAAAGCGAATCGGAGGCACGGATTTCTGGATGGCCAATAATTTCACAGTGAGGTCAGCTTTGTAATACAGAACTATGCCACTACCTCTTACAGCTGGATCATTCCGAAACAGCGACACACCAGGTAAATTGACTTCATAATCTGCTATCCCAAAGCCTAACCAGGTCTCCGTAATCACAACAATATTCCGCGGTTGTGATGCATGGAGTTCTCTAAGTTCGGCCAACTTACTAAGATCTTGAGCGTTCGTGTGCAAACAGGATAGTGTTTTTGATGCAAGTATGTGGGTGGACGACAAATTCGTGTTTTGTTTTAAGCAGGCCGTTAGTCAGTCCGCCGCTAATCGATTGTTGCGTGGGTCATTGGTTCTTGAATTTCAGGCAGACCGAATGGCAGCGCCGAGCATACCAGATCGAGATGTTCTCTCGTGTGTCTCCCTGTCCTGTCAGATGTTGCGAGGGCTACTGTGTCTACCAGTCTGCAGGATTGTGGAGGCAAATATTCACTGAAGTTGCATGTTCCAAGAAAGTACTGACAAATAGTGGCCGTGCGTTTGCTATCTTTAGCCTAATCTTGTCAGGTAACCTGGAGCGAGGCTTCAACCGGCTATCCACTAGGACTTCTGTCATTCCTTTTGGAGTGCAGCACGACTTTAAATATTTATGGACCTCAGCCATAGTAGTTTAGAGATGAAGAAATTCTTGTTAGTGATTTAGCAATAAGATGGTCCAAAGAGCGTGCTTCGCGGATGTAGCACCACTGCTCTCGGTCATGTTTTTGTGCTTCGTGATCAGAAGAGCCCAACAGTTCAGGAACACCATGAACACATACGGTGGAAGATAGGTCGTGCTATATACCAGTTAGCTTGCAAATTATGTAGCTCAGTTAATGTCCCCCATGGCTCAGTGGCTTAAGCTGGTAGCTAATTGGCATCTGCTTCCAACGGTTGTGGGTTCGATCCCCAGTAGGGGATCGAGGAAATGCGCATCACTGACGAGCCCCAGTGGGGCGAAACGCGTCTGGTGTTTTTCCGGACTAGGTTGCGCTATGTAGCTTGTGAACTACTGGGATGAATACCTTAAAGTTACGACTAAAATCCTAGTACTCACGATTAATGTAAAATATAGCCTTTCCTAGTTTCAAATGCTATAGATATGACGTCTAGTGAGAGGACGTCATGCCTTTGCAGGCTAGCCACTGTCAGGGACAGTGGGAGATACGTCGTACTGTATCACAGTTAGCTTGCAAATTATGTAGCTCAGCCAACGTCCTCTGGTTTAGTGGCTTAAGCTGCTGGCTAGTTGGCATCTGCCTCTTGCTTTCGTTCGTAAAAGGGCCGCCATGGTTTTCCAATGCCTTTGATAACCTTTTCCAAGGAATAGCTGGTAGTATGCGTACCTCGCTCGATGAGTTGCGAAAATGAACTGATGAGAGTAAGACTGTCTCTGTCTCCTGAGTCGAGTTCCATGTTAATCGAGGTTTGCCGTAGTGCACTGAAGTTGGGTGACGCGCTACGCGTCTTAGCGCAGTGGGCTCAACCCGAATACCAATCGCATCGCAGATGGGATTCCACTGCTTGCTATAATCTACCAACATGTCCTTTATTGTGCCAGATCTGGACTCAGGAGAGTTAGTGCACACAAATGTTAACGCACTGGGGTTCTGTTTAGCGAATATCGGTCTGTGTTGTGGCTAGTAACTTGGATTGTTTGGTGGGCGTCGCATCAATAAGGCTTGATCCAGAAAATGGACGTACGAGTGTCTCTTTGGGCGTTTTTATCGAGGCGATCGATGTATATGTTGCCCGACTCTGGACTACCGGTGTTGTGACAAACCTGACAGGTGTGGAATTTAGAGATTGGCTGAAAGGGTAAAGTCACAGATCGCAGACCATTCTGTTCAAGTGACTTACTTGATGTTGGTGAGCGTTTTATGCACCGTCCACTCCAGGCGTCAACAAACTTTTCACCGCGGGCCGGATAACTGATTAACACGGGCTGCATTATCATTACGCACAGTACAAGCATGTTAGAACAAACACTCAAGGAAAAAAATGAAAAACGCGACACACGACGTCCAATTTTAGTTTCATACTAGCCATAATGAAGAGTGAAATAAATAGGATTTGGAGAAGAAAGACATCGAACTGCAAACATGATACAAATCCTGTATAAACGAAAGAATGACAGAGGACAAGGGGTCAGTGGTGAAATGACGTCACATCAAGGGCACGCATAAAATGCATTGATATCTTGGTAATCGAATATATTCTGAGGCTGGTGCTGCGCATGCTGAAGGAGTGTGGGCCGGTTCCGTTGATGAAACGTGGCTCCCATCCACATGCCTCTCGGTCTTATTCCTTCGTGTTCACACTGGATAGGGTGTGTGTGGTTGGAGCTGTGGGTGGTGCAGCGCAAGCCACCCATGGTCCCTCTGTAGGCGCAGGCTTCCTGTGACTGTCTCGTGGAGGTCACAGTTACAGGCAAATCCGAAACCAAATGGCACAAACCGTATACATTATATATATATATATATATATATATATATATATATATATATATATATATATATCCGCACGTCATCGTTGGCTACACGCTAGTGCCATCTGGCACCAGCAATACTTGGCAGACGACGATGACCAAAGTCTAGATGTTTCAGATTCACAAAACCGAAGGGCTAAAGTAGGAAGGCTCACTGTGGCTCTGCAGACCGATAAGAATCCCCTACTGACACCACACATGTCCTATGTTCAAGAAGAGACTTATAGGTTTCGCAGTATGTGAATTAACATCAGCAATCCCACATCCACCACTGCTAACTTAATAATAGAGACAGCCAAATTCGTCAACTACTTCTAGCTCGTCATGGGCAAGAATCAATGGGTCAGCAAGTGGCCGTTGGTTCCGCAATGACACTGTACTTTAAAGTGCGAAACCCATACTAAATGATGGGACCACTGTATAGAGTTCATCCAGAGTTGATTGTGAGGCTTCACGATTGTCAAACAGCAGTACAAAGTAACAATGTGTTTGTGTTATTGTTGATGATAACGAAGCAAGGGTGAGCACTACAGAATCGGATTTGGATGTAATAACAAAAGCCACGGGTTTTGATCTGTCGAATTTGGCGCCGTTCGGGGGAAAAAACACGCAAGCTACACCAGGAGCAGCAGTTGGGGCCAAGTCTGTTCCCTAGTACTTATTGTCACCCGACTGGCGGTTATTGGGAATAGTTGCGTTTGGTGTCCGTCGATAACACCAAAGTTGCAGTAGCACGGACAGTGCTTTAAATTGTGGCACGGTCAACTGAGCTAAGAAGTGCGTGCTCATTTGCTAAAGCTATGGCTCAACTAAGCGCTTGGAAAAGTTGTGCGATTGAGTGCTTGTTTGGAGTGTGGCATGAGATGGTACAAATACCTGGGAAATTGTTCAGTCACACTAAAAAGCTGTCTACCTAAGCAAATGAAGAAAGGGATAAGCCTGCACATTGATCGCAACGTCGAGGCTCTGCATCTGATGCCACGGTCGAGGTCAGCAGGTATCACTGAAGTGCTAGCCAGCGGCAATTTGAGACGGGGTTCCGGCCTAGTATTCACACGAAGTGGGTTTTCCATGACCATTTTCTTACCTTATGCCACTCACTAATTGTGTCAAAGTAGGCGTGATATATCATTCTCATCCGTGACAGTTTGTCTCCAGCACATTCCATTCTTATGAGTGTCACTGAGCATGTAGTATTGTGTACCCCGGTGACTGTCCGTTTGCGAATTTCCTCCCTTTGTGTAGTCGACACAGTCATCTGCCCCCAAGGCCATATGCCGGTTGACGTCCTTTGTAGACAAAAAATACGAGCAAACAAGCACAAAATCTGGTGCAATGTGGCATACCGTATGGGGCTGATGGAGATCAATGACGCCATTCTGGAGCAATTCGAAGCACTAGTGAAAAATCACGGTGTGAATTCTTTCTTGGTAAGTAATCCGCTCCGAGACTTATGCATTTGCCACATAATGCAGACAGTAAAGAGTGGTTTCAATCACACCTAGTGTTTCAATTCATGTTGACAGACATTTCGTGTTCAAATTGTAGTTTTTTGCATCATCTGGCGGGTCGACTGGACAAATTACTCCCGCGAAGCTGAGAATGGCCCTGCAGAAATGTCGTCAGCTGGGCGCCTTGGCGACCATCCGCAACGCTACCACCTCGTCTTCAGGGAAAGCTGCAGCAGAGCCACCAACCAACACTGAAGACGTAAGCTACCATTTTTCACCCATTAAATGGTTCGCAATGTAGTATGAAAAAGGTTTGAGATTGTTGGGTCGCCACGGATGGAGCAAGGGGAACGTGGGTCTCATGAATGACATCGAAAGTGAGTAATAACAACTGTGTACTGTGAAGTAACAGTTGAGTATATTTCACTGCATTGCCGACCGAAGAGAGATCAGTGGTACGAAGCGATCATCAGAGAACATTGGGACCACGGGATCTTGGGTGGTTTCTGATGTTGTCTAGTGTGGAACTGCCTATTGGTGAGACCGAACAGACAGGACTCAAAGAGCTTGAAGAGTTCGTTGGTCCGAAAATGATGCACCATAAGCAAGAAAAACCCAGACAAGACCATAAAACTGAGAATGTTACACAATTTTTGTTGGTCCCAAATATGGCTGGGCTGGATGGAAGTATCCACTTGGTGACAAGAGCATAAAAACCAGCCAACGGCATAATAGCACAGAAAATAATGTACCGATGAATCCAGTAGAGGTTTAAGTTTCAACCTGGTTCTCAATCCTGATCCAGCTATATCAAATGGTATAGTGTCGGTGAGTAAAAGCAGGGAATCCCATATATTTGAGCAATCATGGTACAGAGCTGTGGTGAAAGGCGTGCTTGTGGTAGTCAGGTGATTATTGGTGTCATGGACCACTAGATGGCTTTTCAGATGAAGCTTTCAACTGTGGCGGTAACATAGTTCTCTGAACTGGAGAGACTTTAGATCATGTGCTCCTCCCCACCCACGCAAAAAGGGCCGGCAAGATGTACATGTTTCCTACACAACTCAATTCGTGACCGCTTATCAATCACATCTATAATGATTGAGATGACAAATCAGTTATCTTTGAGTGAATGTGCAGCGCATTAGTTCGCTGAAGCGTGGATGAGTTTGAAACCAGCACAGGTATTTCATTCGCATCCCTAAGTCACTCAAATTGGAGTTTTCATTCAAATGACAGCAGAAGTTATCGTACGAGGTGATCACAGTAGAACACGTCATGCAAACGACGTAAGAAATTGGTACTCGCTTCCATGTATATCAAGCTGATAGAGCAACATGATCGCGCCATTGGCGCTTTGTTTGGAGTTCTGATTTTCTCCTTCCGAAACTATGACAATCGTATCCTTTTGAATTCTGATAGGCCTCAATCGAAGGCGCAGGAAGTTAGTTCACGCGATTTATTACCTTACCCTAAGAGATTGACAGTGAGTTGTGAGGGCTGCATACGCCGTTGTGTCGTCCTCGCTTATCAATTAAGCAATCGAGTGTGTCAGCTGTAAGCACATTTCTGCACTGACGCCAAAGCACTTAGATTCGATTCTAAATCATTCGCGTGGATGTTCCTGAATGGATGTGACAACAGTGCATGAACTTCATCCGGTTCCCGGACGACGGCAAAATAGTTTACCGTTGAAAAATTCACTGAATGAACAGAAACCACTTTACTACTGACCAGTTTACCATTCAGTTTGAGTCTTTGAGGGGAAGGTAGGTGGATAGCGTGGCACACAATATGGGCTGTCCCAGTTACCGCAACTGGCACGCCCTGCAAGTTACAAAACGGGGCAATACGTCTGAGGTGATGAATGCGACGACCTGTAAGTAAAGATGTCAAAATTAGGATAAGACCGGAGGGAAGTCGCCTGGTCTCCGGATCGTGACACCACATCATCATCGATACCGGTTGGCGGGAGTCGGAGAAGAGAAACAAATTTCCGCGCTGCAAATGTGACCTGTATCCACACAGTAGTTTGTTATGATAGAACTGGGACACTGCCACAATGACCAAGGCTGGATAGCTTATTGAGAAAATGATCATCAGACGTAATCCAGAAATCCCTGGTTATTGAATGAGAAGTTTTTGAATTTTTGACCGAAAATAAACTCGCTACAGGAAGATTTTTAAATTAAACTGAAATTAGAGATAGATAACCAAACAAATAGGTTCGAAGGAACGGCTGTACAATGCAGCTGGGAAAGCAAATCAACGTCCAGTTGCAACTCAGCTACGTGGAATCACTGGAGCATGTATCGTGTGCGTTGGAGCCCTTCGCGTGCATGAACCAAAGGATCAAATGCAAAGAACCAAAAGGAATTGCTAGTTCAGCTGACTTACGAGTAGACCGAAGCATTAAGCAATGTTCCTGAATTCCTCTTAAACGATCTGGATGAACCAACTTACGGTTTACAGCCCAACCCATTTTCAGTAGCCGGAGGCATACATACAGACGATCACGAGGTTTCTCTAGCCCACACACGACTGCTGGTGGTTGCGTTGCGGCGAAGTGTTCAGCTGAAACGGTGATTTTTTCATGAAAAATATATCCCACGACATTAGTTAGAAATTACAATCATCGGAATAATTTAGTTCAGCTTGCATACTGCGAAGCGAAAAATTATTTTTAGCAGAAACTATTGAACCCAAAGTGCAGTCCATTATCCGATGTCTCAAATTCTTGACCGACAGACATTTTAACCAGGTAAAGAAAATGTGATATACCCAAATGATTTAACGGTATATATTCTCCTCTGTATCAGACGGAACTGGGGACTGTCGAGACGGCATTGCAGTCGGCACAGGCAACTAACTGCCCCATACTTGTGGCCTCCATTTCGAGACCGTTGGCAATGGACCACATAGTTCAAGCGCGTCGCCAAATCCCTCCCGTGCACGTTTTCGTCAGCTGCACTCCGAGCACTTTACTGCCATCTTCTACCGGTGACGGGGTAAGTGTAAAAAACGTGTGAAATGTTGCATCTGTAACAAATACGAGGTACGCAAATACAAAATATGGAGGACTACTGAACTCTACACCTTGTCCCCACTAGTCGCGTGGACCAAATAACGCTAGAAGTCCTATTGGGAGAAGTGTAATATGCTCGCTGGACCACAGCGTCGCATCAGAAACTCGGCCACTGGCGGCGTTTGTTGTCACGAGGAATTTGACAAAGAGTACGATGTTTGTCAGAAAGTACGCTGGGAGCACACAGAATTAAAATTCACCGCTATTAACTTATGGAGTGAGAAACTTCGTAAGAAGCGTGAAATTACTTCCCATTGCTCTTTGCCGTTCTAAATACTAAGCAAAACTATGTTTTGGTGTCATTAAACGCTCGAGTTAGGACGAAGTGAGTGTGTGACATGAATTACCACTAATAAATTAGAATGCGCGGCCAAACGTTCGATAGAAGATAGTTCTTGTGCGTACGGCTGAAGAAGCCATCACAGGTAAGTCGGAACGCTGGTCCAATTTCGCCAAACATCAGTAGACAGTGTGAACGCTGAATAGAGAAAGAAGCGATGTAGAATCTGTCTCACAGACGAACTGTTTTAGTTGGCACAATATTTCCTCAGGGCTCGACAGCTAAATCGACTGCAAGTCATCTATCGGTCGCTTGAGACCTGTCAGAATGGGTGCGGTAACGCGGTACGGTTAGTCCTGGAAAGTGACATGAAAAACCAGTGCATGTTGCATCGATTTTCGATGCCTGGTTCTAGTCTGTAGGCGCCGGTTAAAGTTGATACGTTTGGGTGGGCTCATGCTGATTGGGAAATAGATAAATAAATAAATAGTATACTCCTCGGCGGTGGGAGGCACAGTTTAACTAGGCGGTGTAGAGACCACGTGAAACGCATTACTCGCAATAGAGGTCTCAAGCATTTCCACATTCTACATATGGAGTAAAGGTGGATAACAACGGTTTAATGAACGTTAGGATTTCATTGTAATCACAGAGGGGGATCGACCGTGGTGGTGTGAACCGGATACTCATTGCGCCACTCGGCGTGAAGGGAAGCATCGGTCTCATTGAGAATCATGCGACCTGAAATTAGAAAACTACATTTGAGGGTGAAATGCTTAAGTGTGCGGTAATCTCCGCTGACGAATGGGAGCGAAACAGCGAATTCAGGTCACGAATCGATAAATGAAGGACATTGGTGTCCGAAGTGTGAATATATGAAGGCTCAACAAAGGTGCAACAAAATGTAGGGTATTTAGTGTAACATTTTTAACGGGAGTTCACTGCAATGATTTCCAAGTCAGATAGTCCTCCATGCTTGCGGGAATGCACTAGACGTTTTATCCCATCGGGACACGTCAGTGGTGCGCAGCCTCCGGCTCCGTCAGAAACAGAATTCGTGATCACTATCAGCTTGTACCACTAGTCAACAGGTCATGCCACTAAACCAAGGATGGCTAAACAGGGTCACGGCCTTCATTAACAGCAGCTTTTTATACCGCATTGAGGAACTGTTGTCGCGAATGTTTTAAAATCCATATCGCACATAGTGGTGGTTAGTGGGTGCCGGCAATCCCTGCTCATGAGTACATCAAAGCATTGGCGCTAACAGTTTTCAAATGCCATGTCGTACAAAATTGCTGTTAATGAAAGCTGCAACCGCGTGGGCCAGTCCTGTCTTCTGCAACGTTCGTAACTTGCATGGTAGTGGTGAAGGAGTCGCGTTATATCAGTTTGCAAGTTATGGTGGCCCGTCAACTAAAATAAACGACTTTTGAATCTGAATGGCACGATGTACAGGACAGAGGCCAGACTGCAGCCACCTTCCTGCCTTGTTTTCTAGTGAGAACTGTGCCCCGGCAACCGGTAGTGCTTTGAGACGATGAAATGTCTTGTTCACCTATACTACTAACTTCACATACAGTAGTTAGAATGACAGATACTCAACTAGGGCATCCGAGCGCACACCTAACCCAGGAAAATCGTTTGGTGGCATGCAATTACCCACCTGGCGCATTAATTATAACTGGTCGAGTTACACCAATATTTGTTAGCAGATGAAATGGTGCAAAAACTTACAGCCCCAAGCTCATCAGTTCCGTTACCGCTTACACCTTTGCTTTTCGAAGGATTGTCCAAGGAAACTCATTGCTCACCTGGCAGCTGGGGACATCACCTGTGTGTCGAGTGACCAGGCGGGGACAAATACCGCGGCCGGTTCAGCGCGTCTCGGAGTCGTCGGTCAACGACTGGTGGCCGTCTGGGAAGCTGGCGTGGTTAGTGAAGAGTTTTGAGTGTGGTAATTTGCATACGTCGATCGTACATGATTATGCGGCTTTTATTTGTGCAAGCACAGCCAGAATGTTGGGCCATGGGGACTTATGGTGTATGAACCAACATTTCTAGTGATACACCACAGCCAAGTTCAACCAACTTCATTAGGTACTGGCAGTGTTGAATTGATGGAATAAGCCAGAGGGTTGTTGTTGCCACTTATGTATACACAGCCTTCAGTACGACGCACAAGTATGGTAGGCTACTCAGCACCATACGAGCTGTAACACTGTGTTCATGAGTTTATACATCCTAAAAGCCAAAGTTAACATAAACAAGTTGACAGAAGTCTACAAGAAAAAAATAGATAGGGAATAAGGGAGGTTATTCGGAAGTGGACGAATGAAAACTAATCGAAGCTTAATAATACCCCGCCAAGAGCATTGTGGATTGATTTACGAATCACACGTAGAAGAGATCACTTAAGAGCGCAATAGCAGGTGAGCACAAGTGTGCCAGCTACAAGGAACTGATGTTCGATTTCGCGCCAATTCATTGCTGCTATTTAGTGCAAAGTAATCGAGTACGGTGTTTATTGCCGATAGTGAGATGATTGAACCGGTATCCAGCAATCAGGCACTGGTCGAGTAACCTACTTTGATGAGATCATCCCTTTTTGGAATTGTGATCTGGTTTACTGCGGATGCAATTTAAGAAGGTCCTTGACATTCGGTGTGGAATAAATTTATTCAATTTGCATGTAACAAACTAAAAACGCATACATCTCCCCCTTACTTACATGCAGCTCTGTTACGAGAGATATAGTGTGGAATTTAAAGTAGCTCTGAACGGGTTTCAGTCACCATAAGTTATTTTAGTCACTTTGAGTGACCCGTAACCTTCGTATATACACTGCGCTTTGTCCATTTTGCTTACAACACCAAAAGCCATCCGGATGGTTGGACGCAACAAGCTTCGTCAGCGTGATCTCAACCAATGCGGCTCGATACACTGGCCTGTATCCACGAAAGGGTCGCATAGGTCCAGGTTCCGACGCGGACTTAGTGATGTGGCCGGTGAACAGCGTCTCGCAGATGGGCACAGGTAGGCCCACCATGGTTCTGCTTCAAGGAGAGGTTGTGGCGCGCGAGGGCAAGCCGATTGATAAAATGAACGACGTTGGACCCTTCGTTACAGTGGATGGTATTCCCTCAGAGGTGGTCGATCCTGAGCCAAAGGGAACAGTTCTAAATTGCGAACCGTTCCCAAGTTCCGTCTACGGTCCCGTAATGGCTACTGATCGAGTGAGTTCAATCTGCCGTCTCGTTCAATGAGCAAAGTCTCAGCGTGCGCTCCGGCTCAAAGAATCAACGAATAGAACAGTTCTAGTTAGACAAATCTTTGCCTTAATATAACCGGAAGGTGCAACCGAAAATTGCTAAAAATTTTACTGTTCTAGAATAAGACACAAAATCATTACTTATTAATGAGACATTGCGTCTCTAACTTCGTCCACGGCTAAATTGCTTTAAAGACGGTAATTCACTGTACAAATTGATAGCAGATGTTCCCCCACATTCTCTACAAAGCTACGGAGGCGCCTTCAGCCGGCGATGGAGAAGGGCCCGTGGTCAATGGGTTCCCTGACAAAGGAGCTTGGTACACGAGCACCGACCAGCGCTAAAAGTGGAGGAGCATTGGACCATTCCGGTCTCAGTACGGAACAAATTCATGCGCCAAGATCGCCGGAGTTACAAGAAACGCTGGGCGTGCGGATGATCCATGGGCATCGTGACCTACACGCCTCAGGCTTTTCACTTAGTGGTAAGTGCGGTTTGGCGAAGTCTGAAATGCATTGCTGTTCAGTGTATGCGGATAAATAGTACATGACACAGGACGTTCAACAGAAGTAGCCTATCTTCCAAACGGCCACGTAATGCGTGTGGAGTATGTTGTCGCGTCCATGTGCGAATCGTCGCGTGCAAACATCCAAATTACTACAAGCTGTTAAGCGAAATGACACGAAAGTCAAGCCATGCAGACGTGACACATAGTCCTCCGATTTATTCGGTTGCATGGTTGTGGCCAAACCAGCTGAGCTAACATGGATGTTGTCAGCATTGGACGGCTGTTTGAGCTGTGAGCCACAGTCATCATGCGGGTGTGTGCTGTTGCTACGATCGTTTGAATGCAATTAGTTCCGCAGGTTGCATCTAATATTAGTGAACACAGAAATGGACACGTTTCGCTAGATGACGAATGTTTATTGACATGGACCATTTCACAACACCCAAAAGAGGAGAAGGTATGGAACTGGTGATACCTGCTGGTTGAACGCGAGCAGATACTGATCTGCAAAATATCGGAAGTGCGACGAAGGCGGTTTATGGTTAAAAAATATAGTTGGTTTAGTCAACTGAACAAGATCGTATAAATATGAGCCCGGGAAAAAATAGACTAAGTAAAAAGGGGAAAGGGACACAGTGTCGAGGATAGTTCAGTTGGAGCTACTTGGGTAAACACTGGAATACACTAAAATACATAATTGCGCCACACTAGAACGTCTAGATTTCTATATCTCGGAATGGGCTTGGAACCGACTGGGATTTCCTGGTTTCAGGTCCTGAACACAAACAGACTATTGTAGGTTTTTATTGTGGCGACGTTTCGCTCTTGACGCAATGGCTTCTTCAGGCCAGGCAGAGTTATTTCCAGAAAATGGTTTACACGCAAATCCTCAGTTTCGCTGTGGAATCGCACGGCTAGGGGATGTTGGCATGCGAAAACCAGCATCAATCATACAGTGGTATCACCGAACATAGACGATGGTTATCGAGTCCCGATGTGTAAGGGGTGATGGCTGTAGCAACGCAGAATTGCTACGTAAAGATCCCATTTTCAAAACGATAGGGCTAGTCTTGAGTGGCGCAGTTCGCCGTGACATATTAATACCAATAATAAGATTATATTAAGAGTGAACTAATCACAATAGGCATATTGTTCATGTCATCTATCTGTAAAAGGGCAGAACAGATAGTGGTAGAAATGAAGAAAATCTACGCGCGGTCACAGATATTTGACTCCCAAACTAACAGATTCAGTAAGGAAGTGCTGCCAAAGGGGTCGCTAGATAAATACTCTCGGTCTGTCAAAGAGGTGCGGCGAAAGCGGCATTAGTTTTCATGATAAGTAACGCTCCAACCGCAAAAATAAAGAATTCGTGAACAAAGCCAATGACTAGGTAAGCTGGAATGACCGGTTCTACAGACTTAAGTATTAAAGGGGTAAGCAACATACGCGCAACGTCTGGGGTGGAGTTACTGTTTAGGTGCACAGCAGTCCATCGAACGGTCATCCACATGAAGTGTGTTTCTCGAAACGCACCGGACTGAGACCTAAATAACAAATGTGTCCGTTGGGCCGCGCCTTGAGATTTTATTGGATAGTGATTCATACTTTTCATGCATGGGATAACTAGGATCGTCACGATTATCAGACAAGAACTAGTGAGAATACATCGGACCGAAAACCGTAAAGACATCAGAAAACGAGTCTGGGAAAAAGGACGAGACACCGCGGTACTGTTTATGGAGGCGCAGTGTCATGCTGAAAGCAGGGCTATTTGGTCGGGGAGAAGCCTAAAGTACGATGGCATAACGATTGCGAAAGTGCAAATCTCGTTGAATTTAAATCTTTGTGAATAGCTGCTGGTCAATGGAACTGGCCCCGGAAAGTGTAAAGGAACGCTATGAAACAGCGCACTCCAACATCTTAATAAATTGTAATAAATTCAAAAATTATCCGCATTTTTAGAAAGTGGAACGCATCCTAAGTGTGGTGCCTGCGATGGGCGCACACTGTATATTGGATAAATGAGATGTGCTTCACGCAGAACAGAGCGAAACAGCTAACTGTCAGCTGATCAGAAGGGAGCGAACGACCAAAATGGCGCCATCTATCTTGTTGAACCGCACAAGGAAGTTTCACTTTTTATCAGGGTCACGCTGGATAGTATGGTAAACGTCAGTAAAATAAACGCCGAATGGTTGCAATTGCTGGAGTCATGTAAAGCTTCACTTCACATGTCAGCCCGGTATCGCAAATGAAGAATAAGTAGCCAACTGCGCCACAAACACCAACCAGCTGTGACTGTACTGGTCGCAGATTAGCCATCCATGGCTAATCTTCAGTAAAGGTTACGATAATGACATGCTGAAGAAATAAGCAATGCACCCGAAAAACGTGTAACTTATTCCATCGAGCCACGTAATTGTAGTATGTGGATAACATAAAATCGCAGCAAGAGGATTATAAAGTTGTTTAATGTATCTTTCCTGGTTAGGTGCGCAAGTGGACGACCACCAACCGCAGCGCTCGGGAATCCGGACAATGCAACCACCCGGTGGTCAGCCTCGAAACCCCCTCTGGTAAAACGCTTCCACATTGATCACATTGCTTTGTTTACTTGTTCGTACATGTGTTGTTCGACACAAGCGCACACCTATTATGTATTCGTGCACATATATCATTAGGTGGAAAATATATCTATTTCAATACAAAGTTGAACAAAAAATTTGTACCAAAATAGCGCGGGGAAGGCAAAAGGACCAGGAACAAAAGTGCGATCCCGGTCAGTGAGCGGAATGGATGAGACCTGAGTGGGCGGCGGGCAAGGGGGGTTGGGCGAAGTATAAATTCGAGCAGTAAGAAAACACCTAAAGTTGGGAGTAAATGCAGAGAAGTTCAAAATGCGATGCCGCAATATCAACACTGGCGGTTGAAGACGCGGCAGTGGCACCGGTGATGTCGGGAGGAGGAACGACTGTCCATGGAGCTAAGAAAACCACGGAACAGAGCAGCGCAAAACGGCATAGAACGGGGTGGATGTTACATTGATTCAGCGGCGATTCACTCACACTTTGGTTCAGTATCGTGGGTAAAGGTCAAGGAGTTGGCACGGGTGACAAGGGCCAAACCAGTCATGGCCGTATTGATTCCCAGGCTGGTGTTAGCAGCGTGGCAGTCGGAATCCTCTGTATCAGTTTCGCCAATGCCATGATCTTCGTCAGCAATACCACTAAGATCGCTGTGATCGGTCAGTGTGGACAGATTTGGAGTTGCTTCTTTCCCATTTTGTTGCCGCTTGCATGAATTAGATAGAGACATTAGAACACGTGGCTGTTTGGATGGAGAGCACAAAGCATTTTCGTCTGTACAAGGTTTACTGTTTGGCACAATTGTGGTAGTCTGTTCGAAAGAGCTCTTAGAGGTAGCAACAGCACTTGAAAGGCGTGTGTGCTGCTCACTAGCTAATCGCTGTTCTGAGATGGGGAGCAGCACCTGGATCGATAGGTTGGGGTCCATGGAGTGCCGAGTGCTGCGGTGTAGGATCCCAGGAGCAGAAGGAATCTGTTGTAATTGCAGTGGATTTGTCTGTCTCGACTGCTGCCTGTCAAGTAGTTTGGTGAGACGCCGATGACAGTGATGAGTCTGAACGGGAGAAGAATACATCAGCTTGGCAGATTGGTCAATGTGCAAAAAGGCATTTGACACAATCGAAGGAGATTGTTGTGTGAGCGAGTAGCAATTGGAGGTAAACGGTACAGTGTGTTCTGTCTTACGAGTTGTGACGCGGCGTTGAGTGCCCTTTGATCCAAACGTAGTAGACGTAGCGCTGTTAGCATTTTCCTTTGAAAGATTCTGAGAGATAAACAAGACAAATGGGAGGTGAACATGGTGCATTAATAAAAAGGAAAAGACATGCTGAGTACACAATATGTGGATTGCTTTAGGGGAGAGGTGCATGGAAGCCGAGTGACTCAAGTAAACCTTAGTACCAGACACTAAAATCACGCGATTGTCGACGGTCAACAGAGTGGACTCGGAGTTCAGTTAAATGTATGATCCTAGTGCCGAAGTGCGGTGGATCCGGTTATCATGAGTCGCGTCCCCGGGGATAACAAGTGATCTCCTACGTTTACCGTTAACTTTTCCCTCTGCTTCAAACTTTGTCTTCGTTAACAATCTGACTTCTCCACAGCCGTACACTATTAATTTTATGACAACGCGGGCCATGACAGCTGGATTCATGGCTGTTCGGCGCTCGAGGCCCAGTGGAGTAACTGAAGTTAAGTGTAGTCATGGAGTCACTAATTGTTACGCATTGGTGACCTATTGAGACGTTGCTCAGAACTAGGTGGATGAATGAATTAGTGGTTATCGGATTCGTAAGCCATCAAAGCAACAATAGGCGGGCTAGGAGGACCTCCGATACTACTGCTAGCGTTGTTGGGACAAATTAGTTTTCGAGTCGAAAGGGTTCTGTGTCATGAAGGTATTGGTGATCAGTGTAAAATTGAGCACCCAGGATAATCGGGAAATGTAAAAGCGGTTTATCCAGTGCACCCAATAGGGTGAGATGCTCGAAATTTATATTCATTCGTAAGCTAAACCATTCATGTGGAAGATGTAAATTTTAGGGTTATAAAGTTAGGATGGCCATATTATCCCAGTCACCTGAAACGATTACAAAACCAAACAAGACAAAGGGACGGCCCGTGTCACATAGAACCATGATGCCACATTAAGGGTCAGGTGACCTATAGCCACTTATAGCACAGCCGACGGGAGTTAGACTTACTCTCGCTAGGTGGAAGACGACATAGGAAACAAGACAACTAAACTGCTCACGAACGTGCTCCCCCGGCTGGATCTAGTGAAGTATTCGCTGTGAATAAGCACCATAATTTGACGGTCGCAACAACGACTGACTTGCAGTATGCCATGTGATTCAAGAGTCCAATTAAAGTAATGAGAGTTGCTGGAACACTATAGAGGAAATTTTGAAGGAGAACAAAATATGTAAGCGGGGATGTTACAATGAGGAGCGTTACAAGAGCGTTGCATGCAAAGCAGTGGATAGCATGCGCGCATGCAAAAAATTAGAACAAAAGACCATGAGGAATAAGTGGGTGTAGTGACAAATTGTCGAGAAAGGAAGAAATAGAGCCGTGAAGATAGCCGTAGACAAGGTACGCTCTAAATATTCACACTGTGTTTCAAGAAATTCCAGATGTTACCAATATACAAGGTTTTGAGCGATTATGGGCAGATTACTGCCAAGAACAAGAGAAGACGTTGAAAATGGTTTCCTTATAAAAGATACAATAGGGGAGAAATTTGTGCGATAGCAGGGGATAATTAAAGTGGACGAATACGGAGCAGCTACAAGTTTAGACCCAACATTACAGTAGACACACTTACCGCGTGAAAGCACAAAGCAAGCAAGGCAACACTTACACTGGTGGAGCCTATTACGGTGCGTCGACGAGCAGTTCGTCTTTGGCGAGCCGGATGAACACCGTTGGTTTCAGGTGCAGAGCTTGCTGAGCAAAGGTTAGGAGGTTCGGTGAGGTATAACAGAGATTGGGTGGACGCCTTTTCGACGTGAGAAAGCGCGCCGGCAGAATTTACAGACCGTACAGGGTGGCTGGTACGCGCAGTCTGGAGGGGTGCATTTGGAGTGTTGGAGGAGGCTAAAACTGTGGGTTGAGTGTATCTGCGAGCAACACGGGCCTGCTGTCTCGTCACAGGCCTTCGGGGTGGTGTGTGAGTTGGTACGGGAAGCTCGGGAACTGTCCACGGTGGGGAAGGCGTTTTGACTTCCTCGATAACATGCTTGACCACGGACATCGTTAGGTTATGCTGGTGGCGCTCTGCTTCAGCTGTGACTGTGCTTAATGAAACGCTGCTTGAGCAAGGTAGCTGCAATTCGGATTCAGATGATGGTTGCAAAGAATGGGTAGCAGCGAAGTTCAAGTTGCTCGAAGCAAGCTCACCATAACCACTTACGCAGACCGCAGGCTGTGCATAGTTCGGAAAGCACTGTGGCCCAGGGCGAAGGGATACACGCCCATGGGGAACAGCAGCAGTATTGGAGACGGTGCATGGCTGATGAGAATAGAGTGGTGTTGCTGAATGCCTGTGAACGCGAAGAACGGTAGAACGTGAAGGTCTTTGGTTGGTAGCTGAAGATAAGACGGCGGAACTTTTGCCGTGGAACGGGGGTTCAGGGAGATTGCTTGGTCGAGGATGAAAATAGGGAAGAGCTAGTGCATCACAGGCAGTTATGCGCTTCTTCGGATTGAATACAATCATACGCTGTGAACGAAGAGCATGTGCAAGTCAATGATGGTAGAATGCATGTAGCGACAGGTTGGTAGTGACAGAAGTGCCAGCGTGCAAACAGAGCATTGCAAGAATTCTGCATGCAAGATAGCTGTATAAAGGAAAGGATATCCTATGGAATCAGCGGATGACTGAACCTCAATGAATGACTGTAGCATCTATAATAGACAACTTTGCTTGGGCCGGCGGCCACGGCATTGGGTTGCGTCTGTAGGGTAGATATCTACCACCATTTACTCCTTTGGTTTACGTGAAATGGATGATGACCAACCGTTCGACGTAGGTGACTCAGAGGCGTCGCAAATGGCATTGCTTAAAATTCCCATTCGGACAAAATGGCTGTAATTTAATTACTAGCGCCCTCATCGAGGATATGCATTAAGCAGCTACATGAGTAGCCGTTTGCTGAATAGTGGCATAGAACACAGAACAATGTTCATGTTATAAGAGACCAAAAATAAGCAATCCAACAACTACTTGCATAGGAAAAACACCGTAACCCGATGTTACATCATCACCATTGTGATCAGCAAAACAAAATTAGTGCGCGCAGGTGCTTTCCCAGCATAAAAGGAAGACTAGAGTAAAGGCATTAACCGTGTTCAGAAAATATTGTCGAATATGGAAGGCAAAGACGGATAGATCTAAGGCATATGGTGTTAACACACAACCAGACAGCTGGGTACCAGGCTCCGCTAGAGTAAGCACGCAATACGCATGCGTTAGCTCTTGTGTCATAATTCACTTGCAAATGTTATCACTGACATAATATCGATACACTAGGGACCATCAAAAAGCGCGAAATAAACACCTACGATTCATATGCCTAGACAAATGGACACGGTGAGCGACGCTATCATCAGAAAATATAGCAGGTGTCCGGGAGAACAAGTATGTAGACAACAAGTCATCATATTCAACCACTTATTAAACGCACCACAGTTAACAATAAAAGCAAAGCTGTATTTGACCACCTGTCTCAGATTCCAGCGACGATGACGGCATTCTTCTCAGCTTCGGTGTTAGGAGGCGGTTATCAGTATCTACAGTATACGTGCTTCAATCAGTAAAGAGACCGGAAGCGATCCATTCAAGGAGTTCCCCAAGGATAGTCATAGGTGAGCTGTCCGACACCAAAGTTCAATCAAAAGCAATGCACACCACCTAGAAAGGAAATGCAATTTGTGGCGTTCCCACCCACAGCTAGGGGGTTGTCAAAGAGGACTATGGAAAACTCCCATCTTTCAACTGTCCTAGGCAATATGAACGCTAGGATTAGCCATTTATCGGAGACCGGGTGCCAGTTTAGAGCTTGTGTTGAAGTCGTGGTAAATCGAATTGATAAAAGGACTGCTCCATCAAATATATGCTGACCAAATGCAACTTCCAGTCACTGGTTCCTTGAGTCCCATAAATATACATAGAATGTCGGCGTCTCGTCTGCATTCTGCGAAGCGATTCGAAATGAAATGACGATTAGAGAGCAAAACAAAGTTCCGAGGCACCATGACCTTCCACTGTCACTAACAGTTGACGGGGCGTTTAAGGCGACCGTTATTTTTTCACTGGAAAATCGCTCTTCATCTGCTACGAATGTATCAATTTGCATTGAATATTTCTGATATCTTTTTCAGTTAGACTACTTACAAGGTTATAAATGTTATCGACTGTGATGGGAGTGTCATAGCAGAGTGAACGCGTGAGCCAACCGATCAGGGCCAGATGTCTCTGCTGAATAAACGCTTGTCCCCGAAAGAATGAATTCTGCAACATGGTGTCAAAGAAGACAAAGAGGGACCACACCGGCGCCGCTCTGATGCTGTTCGGATCACCAGCGTCTATTCAGATGCGCGCCCCACTGAACATAAATGAACGGAACTTGGCGAGTAATTGGCGTCTGTGGAGGAGCAAGTGGATGGATTAATGCATAGTAGTACGTTTGGACGAACAACCGATGGCATATCGCTTGACCATGTGTCTACACGCAGCAGGGGATGACGCGCGGCGTGTTCTAGAGACACTGCACTTTCACAATGGCGAAGATCCCAAGAGTTTAGAGACGGTCATTGGAAAGTTCAGTGAATTTTATGAAGGTCAAACCAAAGAGACCTACCAGCGCTATCTTTTCTTTTCGCGCAACAGAGGCCCAGACGAATCCGTCGACGCGTACGTTACTGAATTGAAGAGTTTGGCCCGATTCTGCAATTCCCGTAAATAGTTGGACGACGGTCTCATACGCAATCGGACCATTCTAGGAATCAATGCTGAAACTACGACAAAGCGGTTTTTGCGATAACGCAACTTATCATTCCAACAATGCATTGATATCTGCAACATGGGGTCCTCGGCCACCTATCAATACCAACTAATGAAACCTGCAACTGATGAAGAATTGTGTGCCGTTTCCGGAAGCGAAGCAGCGAAGGTTACTGACGAGAGACAGGATATCTGCGAAGTTTGCGCCATGTGACATCTGAGCTCACGTGAACAGTGTCCGGCGTGGGGACGGAAATGCGCCAAATGTGGGAAAAGGAACCAGTTGGCTCGTTGCTGCCAATCAACCAAGGTGCGTGTGCTCGTTTGTGACAAATCGCCCGCAGATGCAGAACATTTAATTGGCAACGTGTCTCAAAGGGTGCCGTAAACATTTGCCCACGCAAGTCCTTTGATCGAAGGCAAAGCCGCACGATTCCAGTTAAATACGGGAGCTACTGACAACATACTACTAAAGAAGCACTGTCCCGGAGTGTGCATTCGATCTGATCAAGATTGTTTGCGCATGTGGAATGATTCCAGACTTATTCCGAAGGGCTCGGCTACAATCGAAGTGGTTAATCCAAGGGACGGAGGTTCAGATCGACTGAAGATTGTGGTCGTGGATAAGGAGGTTACGCCGATACTTGGCACTGATACGATCCAGTACCTCGGTTTTGCTGTTTTTAATCATGATCGTTTAGTGCATGCTTGCCATGGAGAAACGGATATTAGTGACCAATATCCGTCTGTGTTTAGTCGGCGTTGGGGAAAATTTGAGGGAAGCGCTCACTTATCGTTAGATATGACCGATAACGCTACCGGCTAGGATAGTACCATTTGCACTGCATGACAAGTTCCGCGCTGAGTCGAGCAAATTAGTGGGAGAGGGTGTGATCGCCAAAGTTGACGAGTCAACCGAATGGGTTAGTCAGGTCGCCATCATCACGAAGAAGACGGGCGAAATGCGCGTGTGTATTGACCCGAAACCGTGAAATGAGGCCTTGCGTAGAAAACATTATGCGCTACCTATCCTAGAAAAGATCTTTCCGCGTTCGGCTAAAGCTAAGTATTTCACAAAGGTAGACCAGCCCTCCGCATTCTGGCATGTGGTTCTAGATGAAGAATCCATTTTCCGACTACATTTGCAACACCATCCGGGTGTTATCGTTGGTTGCGTTTGCCGTTTGAATTGAAGTTATCGAGCGAAATTGTCCAAAAACAATTGGTGCAAGCGCTAGACGATTTAGATGGTGCAACATGTGGCAGACGAGGTTTGGATTTACGGCTCGACAGAAGAAGAGCATGACGCTAATCTCTATCGTTTCATGCAGCATTGTGTGCAAAAGAACAGCAAGGTTAAACGCGAGAAAATGGAGCTCCGAAAAGATGAGGTGATTTTCCATGGGCATGTGTTAACTACCCAAGGGATGCGGGTGGATCCAGGAAAAATCAAAGCAAGACGAGATGCCACCCTCTAACAACGTGAAGAGAATCCATCGCTTAAACGGGATGGTGAATTATTTGGGCCGTTTATGCCTGACTCGCTGATATCATGACACCGATCAGGAAGTTAACTCACATAGGAGTAAGGTGGATTTAGGGAAAGGAACAGGAAATGGCATTGGGAACTAGTAAACACCTTATCAGCAACGCACCTGTACCCGGACATTACGATCAAGCGCAGCCTCTGGAGGTACATTGTGACAGCAGCCAGGACGGAATAGGCGCTGTTCTAGTATAGAATGGAAAACCTTTGGATTTCCGCAGCCGAGCACTCACCGTGACGAAGCAGCGCTACGTGCAGATTGAGAAAGAGGCTCGCGGTAATCTATGCCACGGAGCGCTTCAACGGTTATACTTTCGGAAAGAAGACAACGTTGTACACCGATCACAAGCCGCTTGTGTCAATAGTCAGGAAACCGCTGCAGGTCGTTCCTCGTCGGCTTCAGCGTATGCTTATCCAGCTTCAAAACTACAGCGTGGATATTGTGTACACGACTCGTGCACAGATGTTCAGCGCAGACACGCTGTCAAGAGTTCATCTACCGGTGCCTGAGCATAATCCAGCAGAGGTCGAGGCAGCAAACCTAGTACAACACCTGGCAGTTACAGAATATCGTGTGAATGAAATAAGGCGCCACACAGAAGAAGATGCGATGTTTGCAGATTTGCGGGACGTTATTATCAATGGTTGGTCAGAAATGAAGAAGCAGCTGCCGGAGGAACTAACACCATACTACAATTTTCGTGATGAACTCTCTGTCCATGAAGGCTTGCTGTTCAAGGGAAGCCGTACTCTGGCTTCGTTATCGCTCCGAGGAGAAATGCCGAAATATGTTCATCGCGCCCATCTTGGTGCCAAATATACCATTAACCGAGTAAAAGGATTGATCTTTTGGTCAGGAATGACGGATCAGATAAAAAAAGCATGTATCGAAATCCGGCAGACGAAGGGACCAATGATGCTGCATAATGCCCCTGACCAACCGTGGCAGAAGGTGGCAGTGGATTAATTCCGTGACTACGGGATAGATTACCTAATCCGGATGGATTAATATAGTGATTAATTTGAAAACGATCTACTCACGACTACGACTACAGAGGCAATAATCAACAAACGCAGGCGTCAGTTCGCGCGGCACGGTATACCGTAGGAGTTGGTCTCCGACAATGGGCCCCAGTTTACCAGCAGTGCATTTCAGGCGGTTACAACCAAGGGGAAATCATGCACCAGAAAACCAGCCCATATCACGGCCAAGCGAATGGAAAGGCGGAGTCAGCAGTGAAGCAGGCCAAACGACTGTTATTAAGGGTTAGAGTTACTGGTGTAGGCTACTGGACAATCGCAACCCTCCTTCAACGGACATCGGCTTGAGCCCAGTGCAGCAGCTATACGGTCGAAGGACTAGAACGCTGATGCATGCAACTGCCACACTTTTGCACCTAGTTTCGCCACAGCACGAGAGGTTACAGAACAATCTGAGAAGACGAATGATAACCCGGAAACGGTACTACGATCGCGGTGCACGGATGCTGCCTGAGCTAACAGTGTGGGGAGGAAGTGTGGGTTCAGCCAGCACTCGATAGTCAAGTGCGTGTGTGGTGACCGCGAAGGTCGGTGCAAAGTCATACGAAATAAATGTTGGAGGGAAAACGCTTAGAAGAAACCGAGTGCATTTGAGAAGACACTGGAGACAAGAAGGTGGACTGGGAGGGGAGCTCCCGATGGCGTGTGGCAAGGAGAGCATGGCCGCAAATACAACGAAGATGACGCGGAGTGGCAGGGTGTATGGGGTGTATAGTAATATGGAGGCACAAGGACACAAAAAAGGAGGATGTGATGGGAGTGGCACACCAGAGTGAAGAGGTGGGCCAACCGAGCGAACCAGATAGCCAATGGGAGGCTGGTGTAACTGATTTGATTGCTGGACATGGATTGACCGAGATTCATATGAGGTAAGCATGGTTTGTTTAACTGAGTCAAAGAAAGAACCTCATTGCCTTCGAATGCTGGTTAATTATGGACGTAAACGCGTAACTTATATCGAGGAGTATGGCTTGCAAAATGTGCTGTAATTTTTGTCGAGTTGTCTGCCGAACAAACGCTTGTCCCTGAAGGACTGAGTTCTGCAACATCGACCACCGACTTTTCAAAGAAAGGACATTGACACACTGCGCGTACTATGCGAAATTATTAGAAGGCGTTCTCCGGATCAACAAACTGAGCTTCGACACTGCACCGTCAACAGGATGCAGATTCGGGACTGTTTATTCGAGTGGCACTTGTGCTGCTAATGCCTTTTTCCAGTTGCACAAGTTTGCATTTTTAGCATATTGTTTTGGAATACCTGCATTAGCCACTATAAAATGAAAATGCACCCACTCGGATACATGAAGCATATATTGACTTGACTAACAGGATGGTGTCCACTTGCTGGTTGTTGGTTTAGCCAGCATAAACCATTCATTGGAACGAGAAAGTGATTTTGAATTGGCGGTTGCTAAATTTTGTCTTACCAGACGAAAAAGACAAGGGAAACAGTACGAAAGTAATTTAGTCAGTAAATCTAGTGCCACACACTCTAAACACCTCACAAGCGTTCGGGGAAGTGAAATCGATGAAAACTGAGCTGACTCGCTCCTTGGTAAGTCATTGATCACCTCGCCAAATGCCAAAACAGCTACAACGATCGCCCTCTCGGACTTGGACGTTGCCTTTGATGTAGTTGATTTCACTTGAACGTAGTGCTGTCCTACTTAGAACGATGTACCAGAGAAGCTAATTGCCATTCTGAAACATTTATCGCGACTTCGAGGGATCGTTCGATGACTTACGGGAAGCGCTTCTCTGGGCTCATCGCAAGTGCAGTGTTACATCCAATCCTTCCACTTCAACTCTGTGATCGAAGGGTCATGAATCATTACGTGCCACCTGTCTACAGGAGTGAAATCCGCATCAAGTTAATAACCGGAAAAGCCAGAATGTACGTATGGTGTAGATCAACTGGGATCAAAGCGTTTTGACATGTAAGAGGTGCTGAGTAAATATATGCGGCACACCATGCTTGGGCATGCGTTTCGTAAGCGGATTAGGGGGCGTAACTTTAGGGTTGGAATGAAACCGATTTGCCACACTACTAAACAGTTACTCGACCGGACCGCGCATCTGGAAGTTTAATCATATGTGGAGTCATTGCACATATCAGTAAGGTCCGTGGAGACTTCCAAAGCTACAATCTTCCGTGGAGACGGTGGAGTATAACGGCACAGCTATGGATGATAGAGTGCAACGCAGCAGTCAGGTCGCTGTTAATGACAGAGACTACTGAGGACTACGCAACACTGCTCAAATCTGATGAGAACATGAAGTGAACAATGCTTAGATTCATTAACATTATTCAACGTGTTAGCCAGAGGTGAGAAACTCTCCACCAATTGTGCCGCACAGTCTGTCTGACAGATCACTTTCCTAGGTCAACATTGGCTGGGCCAGGTTATTCGAATGACGGTCGGTTACCAATCTCGGTGGGTACTGTCCACTTGGTTGGGTGAAAACTCGAAGTAGGTGATAAATCACACGGTAAACGGTGGGAAGAAATTGATCAAATAGCTTGATCCCACTGGTGCATGCCGCATTCATGGGTGAGGCAGCGGGATGGATCATATCAGTGGTTAGAAATCTTACCCAACATGGCAACGTCGGGAAAGTAACAGCGCTGTTAAATCGGTTTAGTACTTCGATCTGCCAATCCATCCGGCCATTATACATACCCGTCATTTTCTCACTACCTACTCCTCGAATCTTATCAGTAAACCCGTTTGCTTTTTGTTTCGTATAGTATCCAGGTCGTAAGTAACAATAACAAATTCATAATTTTTACGGTGATTTGTCACCGCAAATAGATGCACCGCACTTGCGCGCTCAAAGCATAGTATAAAACTGAGAGGAATTCCACGAGTAACCCGGACAAATATCCACTTACCTCTAACAAATCAAGAGCAGATGCATCGGTAGTGCGAATAAAAGTTCTCAAACAGGATTTGTTCTGTGAAACCTTGAAATCCGAGCGTTTCAAATGAGAATGGATAGGCCAGTCCTCTGCGTCAGGAAAACCAAGTTTACTAGAAAGTAATAAAAACAGTTAAACGGACACCACTTACTCAAAAATCAGACCGAGTAACTCTATTTCTGTGTCCGCACAAAAAAGAGTACTATGATTAAAGAGCTCAGCAATGATGCAGCCAGCTGCCCAAATGTCGCACGGAGACAAGTATTCAGACTGGAGTAAAATCTCCGGGGCGCGATACCACAAAGTGACAACGACCGGAGTGAGAGTGGACTCCCAACCCAAGACTCGTGATAGGCCAAAATCCGTGATCTTCAACTGACGACCTTCCCGATCGATCAAAATGTTTGCTGGTTTTAGATCTCTGTGGATGATCCGATGCGAATGGAGGAAATCGGTACCGCGCAAAAGCTGCTCTGATAGATCCTGAATGAGCGATGCACAATTCGATGAATCATAGTCTATACTCACCCGAACGGTGTCTGGTGGCAGACCCGTGGACGGAACATGATGGGACAGAAACCGAGATAAATCACAGTCAATGAACTCGAATACGATATAAATGCACAACCGGTCCTGCTTCCTCGTCAATGAAATGTCCAGCATTCTGAGAAAATGAACATGCAAAGGATGGCGGTCACTTACTGGACCAAATAGTCAGAATTGTACAGCTGTATCTTCTTCAGAACACTTAGCTCTCGCAGAGTACTGAGTGGAATGCCCTCGTCTTTGGATTCCAAAATAATTTCTTTGAGGGCTACCGTCAGGCCGTTAGGGGCTGTACCCTTAAAAACCTTTCCATAGGCGCCAGAACCCAGCAAATGTGAGAGTTTGTATGAATTAGCGAATACAAAGTTCTCGTAACCCGTTTTGCTGGGGGTCACCCCGTTCATCTGAAACAGAAAAATTGGCAAGTGTAGCTAAACATGGGGGAATGAAAAAGAGCAAGAGTCCAATGACTTTCCTAGAAAGATTGTTTCAAACTCATCGACCGAAAGATAGCATATTGATCTTTTTCAAAGCAAAGTGGGTTGAAACGGCGAGACACCTTGACACATAACTGATTTCCATCATACTCAAATTCATGGTATTAACATGCGGGTCGAGATGCCAAGGAGAAAAGCGTCGCATTTAGAAGTAAACATTATGCATCAATCCCTGCAACAATTTGTTAAAACGTGGTAAAACATTCTGCAAGCAGTGCATGGACAGGAAAGTTTTAGAGACTTATAGCCTGCAATTGTTTAACACAAGTGGTAACCTTATTTGTATGATGTTATTGGCACAATTGTGCAGCTGATGTGTCACGGGAGAAACATCCCCGTAGCATGACGGTTGAAAATAGAGTCACCGAGAAAATAAAGAAAAGTAAAAAGGTATAAGCAGTACACCACACCTGTGTAGTAATGCTTCGATGACATACACGTACAATGATCTTGTTAAGGAGGCAGAATAAGGAGACTGTGTAAAACCTCAATGCCGCAGAAGAGGTACCTACGCGGTGCCAACATCGTATGACTACGAAAAGTTATCTCTCGTGCGAAAACTGGAAAACATGGTGTTGGTTTCCCAGAAGCCTTAAGCGTTCGTTCCATAGATAAACCAGTATCACACAGGCCTTAGGCAGACAGGAAAATAAGATAGCAAATACATTATCGGTGTCTATCGCGGACCGAAAACAGAGTAGGTCACTTGAATCCCAGATTTAGAAAGTGACACGAGCCAACAGTAACTAGTTTAACCGCCATTGCCAAGTCATCGATTACCCAGAGACTTATACCATCGCAGGTCATTTTAGTATAGCCTGATCAAAGGAATATGATCCGAACAAACGAACTGCGATGGATCCAACTTCCATGCTCGTGTAGTCAGGATAATAACAGTCAGAGTTGGTGAGGAAAATGAAGTGGAACGCGAAGTAAAATATATAGAGGGGGCGATAGAAAAACGCTGAAACTAAATGGAATGGGAGGTTGGAAGCTAGATGCAAGAGATACCGAAGCAAACCCACGGAATCTGTGACCGTATCATGTCGGATAAGGTATCCTGGTGCAGTCGATCCCGAGGATCCGGTTCAGGAATATGGCGAGTGCCAGCTTGACTACGTCTCACGGCCAATTCGTTCATACCGTCCACCACATACATTACAAGCTGGCCACTCCGCACCTACACCGAACCATGTGCAACGGTATCAGACGATACACGCCGAGATGGACGGTCAACGAATAGAAAGAAAGTATGACCTATGCATGAGAAACGGTACAGATCTAACATGCCATCCGTCGAGAAACCAGATGCACTCTTTCGAACATTTAGCTCTGCTAACAGATATGAGAAATACCACGCAAGCACCGATTGGCAAGAAAGACGAATCCATTAGCACCTTCGGTGCGAAGTCGACATGTTTTGGATCCATGCAATGATGTCAGCTTTATCCTGACGTTGTACGAGCTGATATCCCACCGTCTCTAAAGCCCATCGGGACAATAGGAGCAACGCGGGATTTGATGGCGTGTGAAGTAATAACAGTGATGTAGATAAGTGAATCGATCAACCACTTCGGCCGGTTGTTCGGTAACAACTTGTATTTTAAACGTGCGAAGGTCATGCCGAAGAGTGCAACGCTACGTATAAACCTTACCACAAGTGCTTGTACAGAGGCTGGAAACGATTCAAGATGTTCCGAAGTCAGGGTAAGCGAACATATGTTTTCGATAATTCATCTTCAGGCTTATACAATTATATGCAAAATCGAAATCAAAATGTAGACAGACATTATAAGTCGTTACTAGTGGAGCGAGTTAATTGGATGCTGACAGCGCTGTCTGTTAAGCCACGACAATCGACCGCGTGTGACCTCGTGAGTTAGAGGTCACCGGCCGTTTGGGTCAGGGCAGTTCCAAGCCTTTAGTTAGCTTCTTCTGAACACATAGCTCCGGTTCATACAGCCTGATCGCAATTGCTTCAGCGGCTTTTAGTAATCGCTTACGGACGCAGTTCGAGTGGTACTTTGGGGCCTGATAGATTAGTTTGAATGAATCGGTGAACTTTGTCACGTGCCCTGTATCGGCTAGGTGCGTGGCTATTGATGAGTTCGCTGTATTTCCACTTCTATTTGTAAGCCCGACCGGGTGGTGTTCATTTATTCTCTCGGATAGACGCCGTGTCGTACGACCAATGTATTCCACTCCACAGAAGCATGAAAATGAGTAGATACACATTGACTTGGTGTGGACAGGCCTCTTATCCTTTGAGTTTAGTCTCACCATCGGAAAGCTAGTGAACTGGATTTGCATCTGCGCTGCTGGATAGGTGCGTCTGAGTGCAAACGAAAGACGACGAGATAGAAGTTCCGTCGCAACCTCGCCCTTGTATGGCAGCTGTAGGAAGATTGGCTTACGTTCTACTGTCAAAACTACAGGCTTTTTCTTCTTATGTTCCATGTTGGCTCTGATGAAGCTTTCCAGATAGCCGTTCTCCCTTAGCACTAAGCGAATGCACTCCAATTCTTCCGCAAGCGTGTCATTCGAGCAGATACGTTCAGCTCGGCTCATTAGAGTATTTATCAAGTTCCGTTTAAACCTAAGTGGCACGAAGCTGTAGAAGTTTGTGTACTGCCCATTCCACGTACTTTTCCTATAGACGCAGTGCTGTAGCCCACCCCCATCCAGTCTTTTCATGCCGACAACGAGGAAATGAAAGCGACCGTTTTCCTCCACTTCGCTGGTGAACTTTATTGCTGGATGGCCTTGGTTGAAAGTGTTTGTTAGTTCATCGATATTTCGAGACGACTGAAGCAAGACAAAAATGTCGTCCACGTAACGGCAATATAAACCGAGACTTGAGATCGTTCACTTTAGCTTTCACTGTTCCAGCACGCCCATGAAGACGTCGGCTAGGAACGGACCCAGTGGGGAACCCATCGCTACCCCATCGCATTGCCGGTATAATTCGCCATTGAATAGAAACTGAACATTGAACATGCATCTGAGCAATAGTTCCCTTAGGATCACCGTGGGTATGCCAACATCAATGTGGTTTGCGTCAACATACTCACAGATGTAGTTTATGGTCTCAACTAATGGTACGTTGGTGAAGAGTGAAGTAAAGTCGAGGGAGCACATGGTTAGATTGTAAACATTTACATCACGCACAATACCCACAAACTCAAAACTATCCTTCACAGTATGCACAACAATTCGCTTTCGAATAGGTGTAAGGATCAAAACCAGCCACCGGGTAATCGAGTGATATGGGGAGTTTTTCATATCCAAGACGGGACGAAGGGGGACGTTAGGCTTGTGAGTTTTTGGTAGCCCATATAGTCTTGGAATAACCGTTCCTACCGGCCGAAGTTGTTCATATGTGGCTTCGTTGATGTAACCATTCTTTCGAAGCTGTTTAAGACAATTGCAAAGTTGAGTTTCAATCTGTTTTGTTTTGTCTTTCTCACCTATGGACCTCAGAAACTTGGTTTCATCTGCCAGTATTTCTTTCATTTTGCTCAAGTAGTCCACTCTGTTCATGATAACAATACCCGCGCCCTTATCTGGCCGAGTGAGTAAGACCTCATGATTGCTAACCAGACGGTTAAGAGCTTCAAGGTGTTCTTGTTTTACCAGAGTGTTATGTACTATCCTCGCACGTCGGTACTGGTAGCATGCATGCACTAGAAACGATTTAAACTCCTCCACATGCATTTCAGAACAAGGAATCAGCTGAGAGGTCTGTGTGCACACGTTTTCAAACTGGGCCTCTATTGTTAGTCTATTATCCTTCCTAGCAGGAAAACAGAATTTAGGGCCTAATGATAAGACCTCCATTGTAACACGATCAAGCGTCAGGCATGACAAGTTTTGAACATACCTTTCTGGTTCGGCCGAAAAAGATGTTGAGGGCTTCTCCTTTTTCAGCGTGCTTGTGAGCTAATGACGAAACCTGGATCCTTGTTTTATGACTATTTCCTTAATTGTTTTCTCTAGCTCTGATCGGTCTCTGGTTGAGAGACTGTCCAGTGCGCTACACGACTGACTCAGGACACGTTTGACCTCGTCCCTCTTGATACGAGTGGCGTCTATTTGGTTTAATGCTAGGCGTTTCAAACAAATGCTATCCGGTCTGATGCGTGAGCGATGAAGAGATTTCCAGTAGTTCGTCGGATAAATGTTGCTTTCTATGCACTTAGCGAGAAAATCGAGACATATATCCGCCTTCGCTATCCTGGTTTTGAAGCCCACATATCTGTTGAGCATTTTAACACAGGAGGATCTAAGCGGTGCTTCACAGTTTTAAAAAATCCCATAGTATGATCCGAAGTCAGGGTAAGCGAACATATGTTTTCGATAATTCATCTTCAGGCTTATACAATTATATGCAAAATCAAAATGTAGACAGACATTATAAGTCGTTACTAGTGGAGCGAGATGTGTTGTCCGGGTAAACCTAGTTAGTCACAAGTCAGAATTTCCGTAGCAAAAAGTTGGAGAGAACGAAATGATTCATGATCATTTGGATCGCAATGTTAGAAAAAAGGTTATAATCGTGACGCGTCCCAGTTGCCACGAGGAACCCAGGATGCAGCTTCACTCGACCTCGGGAGTCACAAGAAAGATTTCAGAACGGAAAGGTTTCACTGGCACGCTGTTTAAGGACAGGCAATGCCACACGAACAAGTGTGGGAAACTGAATCAAGTCAGGGAAACCAACCACGCTGGACTGGCTGCATGCAAGTTGCTATTCCAGAAGTTCGCTGGTGATCTGAACGCGCAAGTCGGAGAATTGTCTTCTGATGAGCTTCATGTGGACGGCCAACACGGTGTAGGCTCCCGTAATGATAACGGTGAGCGGTTGTTACACTTCTGTGAATATGACCGTTTATTTCTCGTAAGCAGTA